GAAAATAAAATCTTGAGATATAAAAATGTTATATTATAATAGAAATAATGCTTATTATACAACTATTAGAATAATATATATTTTTAAATATAGCATTATTCAAGTTTCTTTTTATATTTATTAATTATAGTACCTAAGTATATTATGAGTAATATTATAAAAAAAAATTAAAAATAATTGTATTATATAATAAAAAATCACTACTGATACAACTAAAAATAATAATTTTACCTATTTTAATAAAATAGTAATAAAAAATGAAATACAATTTATAATAAATGTACTTCTTGCACTAAAAAAATCACACAATAAATTGTATTTGTTGGATACCAAATTCATTATTTTTAAATTTCGCGCGACGTGGCCGTCACGTCCCGGGTCGCGATGTTTGCCATCCTGGAGTCTATCGCCGACGCGCCGTAAAGTCGGCCTTTGTACCATCGGAGAGGGGACGGTCTCGCCGCAGTCGTTCCTCCAGCGATCCGCCGCCGCCGCCACAAACTTTGTCGTTTACCAGCCGTCTTGGCAATTTGTCGTGGTAGCCGTATGCTGTTACGGTCGCGATCCGGTGCGCCGCCGCCGGCAATACACGCCGTTTTTTTGTTCCGTGCATCCCAGCCCTCGCGCTCACCAATTCGTCGTGCACATCCTTGTGTCCACGATTCGAGTCACGGCCGCCTTGTGTCAAAACTCAAAACCTACGAACCATTCGTTTAAGTTCCGTCGCTCGCCCGACCTTCACCGTGTGATTCCGAACCCTGCTCGGTCACAACCACGTGTTTCCGCCCGCCCGTTTTACGCAGTGCGAACCGTGTCCTGTTTGTTGATTAATTTGTTTCGTTGTTGTTTACGCCGCAACAACGAACGTGCTCGCGTCGCTCGTATTGCGTGTGCAAATCTTGCAACCGGCGAGTATCCCTGCTCAGTCACAACCACGTGTTTCCGCCCGCCCGTTTTACGCAGTGCGAACCGTGTCCTGTTTTGTAGTTAATTTGTTTCGTTGTTGTTTACGCCGCAACAACGAACGTGCTCGCGTCGCTCGTATTGCGTGTGCAAATCTTGCAACCGGCGAGTATCGCGTTCGATCATCCTGATCAACGCCCACGTCGTCCAGTTTTGGATCACCTCCACACAACCGTCGACCATTTCGTCCAATTCGACGGTAGTACAAGTGTTGCGACCCAGCTCACTTCGTCGTCCAGGTCATCTGCAGCATCATCGTCGTGTTGTCAACACAAACCACTCGGTATCAGGTCGTACACACGTTATCATTTATTGTTTACTATTTTATTTTGATTTATTCGTCATTTGTTCGACGTACCTACCTACTATTGTATTATTACATATATTTTGTGTTATTCGATTGTCTCGGCAGTTCGTATGTGATCTTGCCTCATGTATACTAACCTTAGTTCTTAAGTTTATTTTTCTGCAGAACATCTTTAATAAATCGTTCTGCACATCATATATATAAAACCATTGTTGTTATTTTGACTTAGACATCTCTCACTCATCATTTTAGCACTCGTACAACCTCACTATACAGTCCACTCTAACCTTCTTACAGGGCTATCGACAGGTTTCGCATAAGTAATTACACGCCCGACGCGTAACGTGTTGGCCGCCGTCCGTGCGCGCACGTACCCGTCATCGGCTTTACATGTGCAGCCGTCAATCCGCACATTGTTTGGTCCTTCGGGCCGGATTTATTTTCGTGTAATTACCTACTTTGTCACAATCGTACCTCATCATAATCATTTTAATTTCGTATTCGTATCGTCATGGCACCATTAAAGAAAGAAGAGGATCCGGAAAAGGTTCTACTGCGAAGTCGCGTCAAACGCGATAATATATTAAATTCGGTTAAAAATATTCACGCCACAGCATTAGAGGCACGCGCTGATATTGGAAAAATACCGTCGTTGATTATTCACGCTGAGGAACTAAATAAGTTGGTCGAACAATTTCATCACCAACAAGACATCATTATTAACGCATTAATCGACGTTGATCGTATTGCCGAGTTTGAACATTCTGATCGTCCGTTGATTACTTCCATGGAATCCTTACGCCTTGAAATAAAAACAATTGTCGCAAGTGCCGTTCCCGTGACTACTTCCGAAAGTAAATCGTCGTCTTCGTCGTTCACCAATTCCGTGCCACAACAACAATTCGTCGCGTTACCTAAAATTAAATTACCTATGTTCGACGGCAACTTACTATCGTGGCGATCGTTTCGTGATGTATATATATCACTCGTACATGATAACCAACACATAGATGACGCACAGCGTTTTCATCATCTACTGTCGTGTTTATCTGGTTCAGCGTTGGCTATTATTAAATCTATACCGTTGTCCGCGGCTAACTACTCGATCGCGTGGGACGCGTTGTCCGAGCGTTACGACAATAAACGTTTGTTAGCTTCCGCTCACATGGACAAATTATTCGCCTTTAAACCAATCGTTCATGAATCATTACCAGCTTTAGTTGAGTTCGTCAATACATTTAAGGAAAATGTATCAATAATTAAATCGCTGGGGGTCGATGACCTTTCGAGTTTTTTGCTTTTCCATATGTGCTCTCGCGTTCTCGACTCGACCACGTTACAACTGTTCGAATCTAGTACGTCACAGTCAACTATTCCGACTTTTGACGAGTTAGTAAATTTTGTGCAACATCGATGTAAGATTTTGGAAAATCTTACAAAATCTAATAAAGGCGGTCGCAACGAAAAACCGTTCGAAAAATCGGATGTTCGCGGTAAACATACCAAATCGACTAAATCAGTGTTCGCTGCTACGACGTCCGCTTCGACTAAATTAAAGTCTAGGAATTGTTTATATTGTGATAAGCCCGATCATAGAATATATCAATGTCCGAAACTCACCGGAATGACTGTTGATAAACGACGAGACGCTGTATTAGCTCGTAAATTGTGTTTCGCGTGTTTAAGTTCGAGTCATATGGTCAATACGTGTCCGTCGGCTAAGAGTTGTTTTTCTTGCAACAGTAAGCGTCATCACACCCTACTACATCGTGAACAAAATCGAACGTCAACTGCAGATAATACGACTTCGAATAGTAACCCGGTATCCCAACCCACCACGTCGAGTGGTGATTCTAGCTCGTTTGTCGGTGCCGCCTGCACCAATTCTACCGTCGTACTAGGTACAGCGATTGTTCACATTAAAGATGCGTGGGAACAAGTACATTGCGTACGCGTACTGCTCGATAGTGGCTCGCAGATTTCCGCCATGACTAGTGATTGTGCAGCGCGGCTTGGACTTTCGAAACGTCGTTACAAGTCTGACATCGTAGGTTTCGCACAAAGTCCTGTATCCCACATTCAAGGTATAACCAGCTGTCAATTTTCGTCCCACCTTAAACCAGATTATTTATTCCCGGCTGTTGACTTAGTTGTTCTAAAACAAATTACCACTGCCATGCCAGCTACTCGGTTACCAGCGACAGTGCGTCAACAATATCAACACCTTCGATTCGCCGATGACAAATTCGACACTCCGTCTCGCATCGACGCTCTATTCGGTGCGGATATCCTACCAAGTCTTATACGCCCACACGCGGGTGTGGAACATCACTCGGGTTTACCATCGGCTCTTGACACTCAGCTTGGCTGGATAATTTTCGGCTCATTTTCTACCCCGAACAAGTCACCTCCAGTCACGCTGACCACCGCAATCGCTCCGTCCTCAATCGACGATTTAATTAAAAAATTCTGGTTGATCGAAGAACCCGCCGCCCCGTCGTCGCCCACCACGGAAAACCAGTGGTGCGAAGAATATTTTATAAAGTCTACCTCGCGTGATACGACAGGTCGATTTTGTGTCGCCCTACCGTTTCGCCATTTGTTCACCGGTTCAACTCAACAGCAAGGTACATCGCGTCACGGTCTAGGTGATTCGCGTTCCATAGCAATGAAAAGATTCTATAATCTAGAAAAGCGATTGGCCAAGGATCCCGCGCTGTATGCGGCGTATCGCCAGTTCATGTCCACCTATCGTTCGCTGGGACACATGGTGCCAGCCCCGTCACCGGGCATCTATTTCATTCCACATCACGCCGTATTCAAGACCGACGGTGATATGTCAAAAATACGAGTCGTCTTCGACGCTTCCTCCGTCTCTTCGTCTGGTCGTTCTTTGAATGATGTTTTGTGCACCGGACCTAAACTGCAAGTGGATTTGCGTGACATTCTACTTCGTTGCCGATTACACAAATACATTCTGACCGCCGATATTGTCAAGATGTACCGACAAATTCTTATTCGTTCGGAAGATCGCGTTTTCCAACACATATTCTGGCGTGATTCCCCCACTGACGACCTGCAGGAATTTCAACTATGTACCATCACTTATGGCCTTAACTGTGCACCGTACCTTGCAATCCGGTGCTTACATGAACTTGATGCCCAAGATGGTCACCGATTCCCGTTGGCGAAGGGTGTTCTCACTCAGTCAGCTTATGTCGACGACATTGTTATAGGTTCAGACACCGAAGAACAATTATTACGCCGAAAGAACGATATTGTCAACCTACTTCGTTGTGGAGCGTGTGAGTTGAGCAAGTGGACGAGTAACAGTGCCCTCATTCTCGAGTCTCTCCGTCCTGAAGATCGAATAGATTCCGTATCCTTTGATCCACGAGATGAGCAGTCGGTCAAAGTCCTCGGTCTTCATTGGAACACGAATAATGACAACTTCGCCTACCATACCAGTATTCAACAAACTGCCTCAACCAAACGCCAAGTCTTGTCAGTCATAGCACGTTTGTTTGATCCTATAGGCGCGCTGGGTCCGTTGTTACTTTGGGCAAAGTGCTTTATGCAATCGCTGTGGTGCAGCAAGCTTGGGTGGGACGATCTCATTACCGACGAGTTATTATCGACATGGCGTTAATTTTGTTTAGAGCTAAATGATGTGTTTGGCCTATCAATCCCTCGTTACATTCCGGTTGTACATCAGCAAGATATTCAATTGATGGGCTTCGCGGATGCATCGACCAAAGGATATGCGGCCACCATATACATGCGCAGTGTTAACGCCGCGGGGGACATATTAGTCAAATTTATTACATGTAAAACGAAGGTCGCCCCTATCAAGACTGCCGTCGCCGACGATTCTCTGTCTATACCGCGTTTGGAACTATGCGGGGCGCTATTGCTGGCGCAAACACTCCACCATGTCCATCAGGTTCTGTCGTCCGAGATCTCCATAACTTGTCTTCGTGCCTGGACCGATTCATCCATCGTTTTGTCATGGTTGACATCGGATCAAAAATATTTTAAGATTTTTATCACTAATCGAATCGCCAAAATCCACCAGCTTGTCCCTGCCTGCAAGTGGAGTCACGTGTCGACCGCCGAGAATCCCGCGGACCCTGCTTCCCGCGGGCTTCTACCCAGGGCTGCAATGTCATCGGATATCTATTGGAATGGCCCAGAGTTCTTGGGACGGCCGGAAGAGCAATGGCCTAAGTCCAAATTCACGCCATTGAGTCCTGACCAATTGCCCGAGACCAGGCCTAACGTCACTTCGACTCTTGTCGCCAATGTATCGTCATCTCCACTTGAGTTGTTCACTCGGTTTTCATCGCTTGCCAGAATGCAACGTGTCCTTTCGTTCGTTTTCCGTTTTGTACGTCGCTCACGCCGACAGCCCGTTTGTTCGGGGCCACCAATGTTTTTAGAATACGAAACTGCACTATCCGTTGTCGTACGCCAGATACAAAAATATTACTTTTCCGAACTTATTAACATGTTGAAGAAACAGTCTACGATATCACCTCCGTCGTTAGCTCAATTAGCGCCCTACGTCGATGAGACAGGAGTTTTGAGAGTCGGAGGCCGCCTACGCTTTTCCTTTATACACCCTGACTCGAAGCACCCGATTCTGCTGCCACGAGATTCACATCTTACGACATTGTTAATTCGTCATTATCATTTGTCGTTCCTCCATGGCGGACCGAAGCTGATATTGTCAATGTTGAACAGGAGGTTTTGGATCATGTCTGGCCGCGCCGCAGTGCGTCGTGAAATTTTTGCTTGTGTTCCGTGCACACGTCACAAGGCCGTCCGTCCTCAGCCAATCATGGCCGATTTGCCGCCATACCGAGTTCGACCTCATCGACCATTTTCCCATGTCGGTATGGACTATGGAGGTCCTTTTCTTGTGAAAGAGCATAAACGTCGCAGCGCCCAATCAGTGAAAGTATATCTGGCATTATTTGTATGTATGGCTGTGAAGGCAGTTCATCTCGAAATCGTCACAGAGTTAACCACTGATGCGTTTCTCGCGGCCTTGGATCGCTTTGTCGCTAGACGTGGGATTCCTACCGATATTTATTCTGACTGCGGCACGAATTACGTGGGTGCTGCGCGTCAACTCAAACTGCTATTTCGCAACGCCAAAGAGCAGGATCGAATCTCTTCACATCTGGCGTGCACGTGGCATTTTAATCCGCCTGCCGCACCGCACTTCGGCGGCATTTGGGAAGCTGGAATTAAGAGTGCCAAGGTCCATCTCAAGCATGTTATTGGTCAGCAGATATTAACTCATGAAGAATTTGTTACTTTGACTACCCGCGTCGAGGGTATCCTCAATTCTCGACCAATCACGCCGGCGTCATCTGACCCGCACGATTTAAGCGCCTTGACTCCGGGGCATTTCTTGATCGGAGAACCTATTCACGCCCTACCAGAACGTGACATCACTGACATAAAGATTAATAGATTGAACCGATGGCAACTCATACGCCAATGCCACCAGTCTTACTGGAAGAGGTGGTCCCGTGAGTACTTGTCGTCGTTGCAAGGTCGTTCAAAATGGTACAAGTCATCTCCAAATTTGATGGTCAACGATATGGTCATTGTCGAGGCCCCATCTCGACCACCTACCGAATGGCGGCTCGGCCGTGTCACCGAGGTCCACCCAGGTGCCGATGATGTTGTCCGTGTCGTGTCCGTGCGCACTCGGGACGGTATCTACAAGCGCCCGGTCGTGAAACTTGTGCGTTTACCAGTCGAGCCCTAAACTTGTCCTCATTCCCCAAGGTCCTCATTATGTAAATTTTGTAATTGTTTTTTTTTTTTTTTTTTGTGCAACAGTCACATTCTGGTTAACGTTATTTATGTATTTGTCTATTGATGAGTGTCAGGTACTATGTAGATATTTTTAATTATTATTTATTTGTGTATTATCATGTATTTTTGCTCCGTATTTTTTTGTAATGTGTACGATCTGACTTCAACGTCCATCTTCATGTTTGATGATCTCTTGAAAGACGCCCTGGTCTTTCAACGCGGGGAGGAAATGTTGGATACCAAATTCATTATTTTTAAATTTCGCGCGACGTGGCCGTCACGTCCCGGGTCGCGATGTTTGCCATCCTGGAGTCTATCGCCGACGCGCCGTAAAGTCGGCCTTTGTACCATCGGAGAGGGGACGGTCTCGCCGCAGTCGTTCCTCCAGCGATCCGCCGCCGCCGCCACAAACTTTGTCGTTTACCAGCCGTCTTGGCAATTTGTCGTGGTAGCCGTATGCTGTTACGGTCGCGATCCGGTGCGCCGCCGCCGGCAATACACGCCGTTTTTTTGTTCCGTGCATCCCAGCCCTCGCGCTCACCAATTCGTCGTGCACATCCTTGTGTCCACGATTCGAGTCACGGCCGCCTTGTGTCAAAACTCAAAACCTACGAACCATTCGTTTAAGTTCCGTCGCTCGCCCGACCTTCACCGTGTGATTCCGAACCCTGCTCGGTCACAACCACGTGTTTCCGCCCGCCCGTTTTACGCAGTGCGAACCGTGTCCTGTTTGTTGATTAATTTGTTTCGTTGTTGTTTACGCCGCAACAACGAACGTGCTCGCGTCGCTCGTATTGCGTGTGCAAATCTTGCAACCGGCGAGTATCCCTGCTCGGTCACAACCACGTGTTTCCGCCCGCCCGTTTTACGCAGTGCGAACCGTGTCCTGTTTTGTAGTTAATTTGTTTCGTTGTTGTTTACGCCGCAACAACGAACGTGCTCGCGTCGCTCGTATTGCGTGTGCAAATCTTGCAACCGGCGAGTATCGCGTTCGATCATCCTGATCAACGCCCACGTCGTCCAGTTTTGGATCACCTCCACACAACCGTCGACCATTTCGTCCAATTCGACGGTAGTACAAGTGTTGCGACCCAGCTCACTTCGTCGTCCAGGTCATCTGCAGCATCATCGTCGTGTTGTCAACACAAACCACTCGGTATCAGGTCGTACACACGTTATCATTTATTGTTTACTATTTTATTTTGATTTATTCGTCATTTGTTCGACGTACCTACCTACTATTGTATTATTACATATATTTTGTGTTATTCGATTGTCTCGGCAGTTCGTATGTGATCTTGCCTCATGTATACTAACCTTAGTTCTTAAGTTTATTTTTCTGCAGAACATCTTTAATAAATCGTTCTGCACATCATATATATAAAACCATTGTTGTTATTTTGACTTAGACATCTCTCACTCATCATTTTAGCACTCGTACAACCTCACTATACAGTCCACTCTAACCTTCTTACAGGGCTATCGACAGGTTTCGCATAAGTAATTACACGCCCGACGCGTAACGTGTTGGCCGCCGTCCGTGCGCGCACGTACCCGTCATCGGCTTTACATGTGCAGCCGTCAATCCGCACATTGTTTGGTCCTTCGGGCCGGATTTATTTTCGTGTAATTACCTACTTTGTCACAATCGTACCTCATCATAATCATTTTAATTTCGTATTCGTATCGTCATGGCACCATTAAAGAAAGAAGAGGATCCGGAAAAGGTTCTACTGCGAAGTCGCGTCAAACGCGATAATATATTAAATTCGGTTAAAAATATTCACGCCACAGCATTAGAGGCACGCGCTGATATTGGAAAAATACCGTCGTTGATTATTCACGCTGAGGAACTAAATAAGTTGGTCGAACAATTTCATCACCAACAAGACATCATTATTAACGCATTAATCGACGTTGATCGTATTGCCGAGTTTGAACATTCTGATCGTCCGTTGATTACTTCCATGGAATCCTTACGCCTTGAAATAAAAACAATTGTCGCAAGTGCCGTTCCCGTGACTACTTCCGAAAGTAAATCGTCGTCTTCGTCGTTCACCAATTCCGTGCCACAACAACAATTCGTCGCGTTACCTAAAATTAAATTACCTATGTTCGACGGCAACTTACTATCGTGGCGATCGTTTCGTGATGTATATATATCACTCGTACATGATAACCAACACATAGATGACGCACAGCGTTTTCATCATCTACTGTCGTGTTTATCTGGTTCAGCGTTGGCTATTATTAAATCTATACCGTTGTCCGCGGCTAACTACTCGATCGCGTGGGACGCGTTGTCCGAGCGTTACGACAATAAACGTTTGTTAGCTTCCGCTCACATGGACAAATTATTCGCCTTTAAACCAATCGTTCATGAATCATTACCAGCTTTAGTTGAGTTCGTCAATACATTTAAGGAAAATGTATCAATAATTAAATCGCTGGGGGTCGATGACCTTTCGAGTTTTTTGCTTTTCCATATGTGCTCTCGCGTTCTCGACTCGACCACGTTACAACTGTTCGAATCTAGTACGTCACAGTCAACTATTCCGACTTTTGACGAGTTAGTAAATTTTGTGCAACATCGATGTAAGATTTTGGAAAATCTTACAAAATCTAATAAAGGCGGTCGCAACGAAAAACCGTTCGAAAAATCGGATGTTCGCGGTAAACATACCAAATCGACTAAATCAGTGTTCGCTGCTACGACGTCCGCTTCGACTAAATTAAAGTCTAGGAATTGTTTATATTGTGATAAGCCCGATCATAGAATATATCAATGTCCGAAACTCACCGGAATGACTGTTGATAAACGACGAGACGCTGTATTAGCTCGTAAATTGTGTTTCGCGTGTTTAAGTTCGAGTCATATGGTCAATACGTGTCCGTCGGCTAAGAGTTGTTTTTCTTGCAACAGTAAGCGTCATCACACCCTACTACATCGTGAACAAAATCGAACGTCAACTGCAGATAATACGACTTCGAATAGTAACCCGGTATCCCAACCCACCACGTCGAGTGGTGATTCTAGCTCGTTTGTCGGTGCCGCCTGCACCAATTCTACCGTCGTACTAGGTACAGCGATTGTTCACATTAAAGATGCGTGGGAACAAGTACATTGCGTACGCGTACTGCTCGATAGTGGCTCGCAGATTTCCGCCATGACTAGTGATTGTGCAGCGCGGCTTGGACTTTCGAAACGTCGTTACAAGTCTGACATCGTAGGTTTCGCACAAAGTCCTGTATCCCACATTCAAGGTATAACCAGCTGTCAATTTTCGTCCCACCTTAAACCAGATTATTTATTCCCGGCTGTTGACTTAGTTGTTCTAAAACAAATTACCACTGCCATGCCAGCTACTCGGTTACCAGCGACAGTGCGTCAACAATATCAACACCTTCGATTCGCCGATGACAAATTCGACACTCCGTCTCGCATCGACGCTCTATTCGGTGCGGATATCCTACCAAGTCTTATACGCCCACACGCGGGTGTGGAACATCACTCGGGTTTACCATCGGCTCTTGACACTCAGCTTGGCTGGATAATTTTCGGCTCATTTTCTACCCCGAACAAGTCACCTCCAGTCACGCTGACCACCGCAATCGCTCCGTCCTCAATCGACGATTTAATTAAAAAATTCTGGTTGATCGAAGAACCCGCCGCCCCGTCGTCGCCCACCACGGAAAACCAGTGGTGCGAAGAATATTTTATAAAGTCTACCTCGCGTGATACGACAGGTCGATTTTGTGTCGCCCTACCGTTTCGCCATTTGTTCACCGGTTCAACTCAACAGCAAGGTACATCGCGTCACGGTCTAGGTGATTCGCGTTCCATAGCAATGAAAAGATTCTATAATCTAGAAAAGCGATTGGCCAAGGATCCCGCGCTGTATGCGGCGTATCGCCAGTTCATGTCCACCTATCGTTCGCTGGGACACATGGTGCCAGCCCCGTCACCGGGCATCTATTTCATTCCACATCACGCCGTATTCAAGACCGACGGTGATATGTCAAAAATACGAGTCGTCTTCGACGCTTCCTCCGTCTCTTCGTCTGGTCGTTCTTTGAATGATGTTTTGTGCACCGGACCTAAACTGCAAGTGGATTTGCGTGACATTCTACTTCGTTGCCGATTACACAAATACATTCTGACCGCCGATATTGTCAAGATGTACCGACAAATTCTTATTCGTTCGGAAGATCGCGTTTTCCAACACATATTCTGGCGTGATTCCCCCACTGACGACCTGCAGGAATTTCAACTATGTACCATCACTTATGGCCTTAACTGTGCACCGTACCTTGCAATCCGGTGCTTACATGAACTTGATGCCCAAGATGGTCACCGATTCCCGTTGGCGAAGGGTGTTCTCACTCAGTCAGCTTATGTCGACGACATTGTTATAGGTTCAGACACCGAAGAACAATTATTACGCCGAAAGAACGATATTGTCAACCTACTTCGTTGTGGAGCGTGTGAGTTGAGCAAGTGGACGAGTAACAGTGCCCTCATTCTCGAGTCTCTCCGTCCTGAAGATCGAATAGATTCCGTATCCTTTGATCCACGAGATGAGCAGTCGGTCAAAGTCCTCGGTCTTCATTGGAACACGAATAATGACAACTTCGCCTACCATACCAGTATTCAACAAACTGCCTCAACCAAACGCCAAGTCTTGTCAGTCATAGCACGTTTGTTTGATCCTATAGGCGCGCTGGGTCCGTTGTTACTTTGGGCAAAGTGCTTTATGCAATCGCTGTGGTGCAGCAAGCTTGGGTGGGACGATCTCATTACCGACGAGTTATTATCGACATGGCGTTAATTTTGTTTAGAGCTAAATGATGTGTTTGGCCTATCAATCCCTCGTTACATTCCGGTTGTACATCAGCAAGATATTCAATTGATGGGCTTCGCGGATGCATCGACCAAAGGATATGCGGCCACCATATACATGCGCAGTGTTAACGCCGCGGGGGACATATTAGTCAAATTTATTACATGTAAAACGAAGGTCGCCCCTATCAAGACTGCCGTCGCCGACGATTCTCTGTCTATACCGCGTTTGGAACTATGCGGGGCGCTATTGCTGGCGCAAACACTCCACCATGTCCATCAGGTTCTGTCGTCCGAGATCTCCATAACTTGTCTTCGTGCCTGGACCGATTCATCCATCGTTTTGTCATGGTTGACATCGGATCAAAAATATTTTAAGATTTTTATCACTAATCGAATCGCCAAAATCCACCAGCTTGTCCCTGCCTGCAAGTGGAGTCACGTGTCGACCGCCGAGAATCCCGCGGACCCTGCTTCCCGCGGGCTTCTACCCAGGGCTGCAATGTCATCGGATATCTATTGGAATGGCCCAGAGTTCTTGGGACGGCCGGAAGAGCAATGGCCTAAGTCCAAATTCACGCCATTGAGTCCTGACCAATTGCCCGAGACCAGGCCTAACGTCACTTCGACTCTTGTCGCCAATGTATCGTCATCTCCACTTGAGTTGTTCACTCGGTTTTCATCGCTTGCCAGAATGCAACGTGTCCTTTCGTTCGTTTTCCGTTTTGTACGTCGCTCACGCCGACAGCCCGTTTGTTCGGGGCCACCAATGTTTTTAGAATACGAAACTGCACTATCCGTTGTCGTACGCCAGATACAAAAATATTACTTTTCCGAACTTATTAACATGTTGAAGAAACAGTCTACGATATCACCTCCGTCGTTAGCTCAATTAGCGCCCTACGTCGATGAGACAGGAGTTTTGAGAGTCGGAGGCCGCCTACGCTTTTCCTTTATACACCCTGACTCGAAGCACCCGATTCTGCTGCCACGAGATTCACATCTTACGACATTGTTAATTCGTCATTATCATTTGTCGTTCCTCCATGGCGGACCGAAGCTGATATTGTCAATGTTGAACAGGAGGTTTTGGATCATGTCTGGCCGCGCCGCAGTGCGTCGTGAAATTTTTGCTTGTGTTCCGTGCACACGTCACAAGGCCGTCCGTCCTCAGCCAATCATGGCCGATTTGCCGCCATACCGAGTTCGACCTCATCGACCATTTTCCCATGTCGGTATGGACTATGGAGGTCCTTTTCTTGTGAAAGAGCATAAACGTCGCAGCGCCCAATCAGTGAAAGTATATCTGGCATTATTTGTATGTATGGCTGTGAAGGCAGTTCATCTCGAAATCGTCACAGAGTTAACCACTGATGCGTTTCTCGCGGCCTTGGATCGCTTTGTCGCTAGACGTGGGATTCCTACCGATATTTATTCTGACTGCGGCACGAATTACGTGGGTGCTGCGCGTCAACTCAAACTGCTATTTCGCAACGCCAAAGAGCAGGATCGAATCTCTTCACATCTGGCGTGCACGTGGCATTTTAATCCGCCTGCCGCACCGCACTTCGGCGGCATTTGGGAAGCTGGAATTAAGAGTGCCAAGGTCCATCTCAAGCATGTTATTGGTCAGCAGATATTAACTCATGAAGAATTTGTTACTTTGACTACCCGCGTCGAGGGTATCCTCAATTCTCGACCAATCACGCCGGCGTCATCTGACCCGCACGATTTAAGCGCCTTGACTCCGGGGCATTTCTTGATCGGAGAACCTATTCACGCCCTACCAGAACGTGACATCACTGACATAAAGATTAATAGATTGAACCGATGGCAACTCATACGCCAATGCCACCAGTCTTACTGGAAGAGGTGGTCCCGTGAGTACTTGTCGTCGTTGCAAGGTCGTTCAAAATGGTACAAGTCATCTCCAAATTTGATGGTCAACGATATGGTCATTGTCGAGGCCCCATCTCGACCACCTACCGAATGGCGGCTCGGCCGTGTCACCGAGGTCCACCCAGGTGCCGATGATGTTGTCCGTGTCGTGTCCGTGCGCACTCGGGACGGTATCTACAAGCGCCCGGTCGTGAAACTTGTGCGTTTACCAGTCGAGCCCTAAACTTGTCCTCATTCCCCAAGGTCCTCATTATGTAAATTTTGTAATTGTTTTTTTTTTTTTTTTTTTGTGCAACAGTCACATTCTGGTTCACGTTATTTATGTATTTGTCTATTGATGAGTGTCAGGTACTATGTAGATATTTTTAATTATTATTTATTTGTGTATTATCATGTATTTTTGCTCCGTATTTTTTTGTAATGTGTACGATCTGACTTCAACGTCCATCTTCATGTTTGATGATCTCTTGAAAGACGCCCTGGTCTTTCAACGCGGGGAGGAAATGTTGGATACCAAATTCATTATTTTTAAATTTCGCGCGACGTGGCCGTCACGTCCCGGGTCGCGATGTTTGCCATCCTGGAGTCTATCGCCGACGCGCCGTAAAGTCGGCCTTTGTACCATCGGAGAGGGGACGGTCTCGCCGCAGTCGTTCCTCCAGCGATCCGCCGCCGCCGCCACAAACTTTGTCGTTTACCAGCCGTCTTGGCAATTTGTCGTGGTAGCCGTATGCTGTTACGGTCGCGATCCGGTGCGCCGCCGCCGGCAATACACGCCGTTTTTTTGTTCCGTGCATCCCAGCCCTCGCGCTCACCAATTCGTCGTGCACATCCTTGTGTCCACGATTCGAGTCACGGCCGCCTTGTGTCAAAACTCAAAACCTACGAACCATTCGTTTAAGTTCCGTCGCTCGCCCGACCTTCACCGTGTGATTCCGAACCCTGCTCGGTCACAACCACGTGTTTCCGCCCGCCCGTTTTACGCAGTGCGAACCGTGTCCTGTTTGTTGATTAATTTGTTTCGTTGTTGTTTACGCCGCAACAACGAACGTGCTCGCGTCGCTCGTATTGCGTGTGCAAATCTTGCAACCGGCGAGTATCCCTGCTCGGTCACAACCACGTGTTTCCGCCCGCCCGTTTTACGCAGTGCGAACCGTGTCCTGTTTTGTAGTTAATTTGTTTCGTTGTTGTTTACGCCGCAACAACGAACGTGCTCGCGTCGCTCGTATTGCGTGTGCAAATCTTGCAACCGGCGAGTATCGCGTTCGATCATCCTGATCAACGCCCACGTCGTCCAGTTTTGGATCACCTCCACACAACCGTCGACCATTTCGTCCAATTCGACGGTAGTACAAGTGTTGCGACCCAGCTCACTTCGTCGTCCAGGTCATCTGCAGCATCATCGTCGTGTTGTCAACACAAACCACTCGGTATCAGGTCGTACACACGTTATCATTTATTGTTTACTATTTTATTTTGATTTATTCGTCATTTGTTCGACGTACCTACCTACTATTGTATTATTACATATATTTTGTGTTATTCGATTGTCTCGGCAGTTCGTATGTGATCTTGCCTCATGTATACTAACCTTAGTTCTTAAGTTTATTTTTCTGCAGAACATCTTTAATAAATCGTTCTGCACATCATATATATAAAACCATTGTTGTTATTTTGACTTAGACATCTCTCACTCATCATTTTAGCACTCGTACAACCTCACTATACAGTCCACTCTAACCTTCTTACAGGGCTATCGACAGGTTTCGCATAAGTAATTACACGCCCGACGCGTAACGTGTTGGCCGCCGTCCGTGCGCGCACGTACCCGTCATCGGCTTTACATGTGCAGCCGTCAATCCGCACAGTATTATTTATCATTTTTCTTGGTTGGGGCATGGCGAATATAATTATCTGCTACTTTGTGAAAAGTATTTTCGTCATTTGAATTTGAAATGAAACCAGACATAGCTTCTATAACAATAAAATAATGATAAATTAATTAGAATTTTTATATTTTAAAGTGCGACCGCCCCTGCGTAGCCCATAGTAACCAATGGTTACTATAAATGGCCCGATTTATATTCTTTATTAAAATATTTATTGAGGACAACCTTTTTAATATTCTTAAGAAAGTCTGCAAAAAATCCAAATAAAGGCCACGGAGAACCCCTATAAGCATACTTGAATAGACAATAGTACATACTTTTAATTGTAATTAAGACCTATTAAAAATATTGAAATAATAATATGTTAGGTAGGTACTTACCTTTTATCAAAATTCCAAGCGAAAGTGTGAGAATGCGAGCACCAATAATTCACTATTCACCATTCACAGTCCGCACAGACAAAATGCCGGGGTTCGGACGACTCGTAAAACAATATAAGATAGGTAATAATATTGTTTAACAAGATACAACTACAATACTAGGTACACCATATTATTATTATTTAATATTTTTTACAGCGTAAGTATGTCTGTGAAATTATAAATGCTATCGAGATTCGTTATTCGTAGGCAGTTGCTTGCAGCCGATGCGCGACAGCGGGGATGTGGCAGTCGGCGGTAATCATAGTAATATGGAAAAACCAGTAAACTCCTAACGTGATTCGTGAATCATGATATATACTATTTACACATCCACCGGCACGGACGCACGGTGTTATACGAACACCGCTGCATCTTTTATGCATCAAATTATTATTTTAAAATAGATGTAGGTACTATAATATTATATTATATACTCCGGGCGGAATGAGAACGTACCCGGGCGGCGGACCAAAACAGGTCATAGTTATGACTATAACTAGATGTTTATAACTATGACAAGGTTGCGGATGGGAAACCGGTCGCCGCCTGCGCAACGAGTTACGTTCTTATTCCGCCCGGAGTACCTATAGTTATATCAGTTGACTGCATAGGTGCTATTTTAGTTTTTAACTTGGAGGGGCTTTATGTATTTAAATGAAACAGATCTGTGGGGAGCTCTGCCCCATAGGTGATTAGGGGGTGCTGGGGCCTGGGGAGGCTTCAGGCTTGCCCCCCCAAATTATTGAACATACCTACATATTAAACATACATTACTATATCGACTATATTCTAGACAAATTGAAATATTATCAGTAATGTATTGTAATTACCAATTTGACATTTTTAGTACTATTATTAAACTTATATGTATGCCATGTGGATGATCTGATATCTACTATGGATAACACACGAATAACGAATCGTTGATTAAGCATTAGTTAAATAATTTTTTCAATCAACGTTTACTGTATTATTTAGATAAATTAGATAATTAATGTAGGATCAAATATTTCAATTGAAATAAACAATTTGGAGAGTCTAATTTTAATATTGGAGGGGTTAAGCCCCACCAAGCCCCCCCAGATTTCATCTATGGTTGACTGTGGTAACAGACACCAGCGTGCAATGCGGAAACAGTACTTCTATTCGCTGCCACACTTTTAGATCACCGTGTTAATATTGCACTGTAGTACCATATTAGCACATACAAATATAATACAAATGATCTATAGAACACCTTCACACATTATATGCACGGTAAACTTGTGCACTGTAAGTTGCATCCTCAAGACATAGCTAGGACATAGTTTGAACTGATGCACCATATATGAACCGATTATTTTTTGAAAAGTAATTATTATAACCGATAAACAAAACGTGCACCGTACTCGAGGTTTTGAGCACGCTGGTACCGTGTCTACACATTCCCGGGCTAAAATTGGTTGTCTTCCTATGAAATTGACGTAAATAATTTGGTCCATAATTATAAGCGGCAACTGCTGCATTACATCGGGCATTATAAGACCTTAAAAGTATTTAATTTTCAATACACGATGTATACATGCGACCTTATCTGGGGCACAATTAGTATTATACTTATATAATTATATATGCTAAGGGCAGATATAGGATAAATTAATATAATATTTACGTGCCTACAAGGTAAATATAATTTAATTAAATTTTGGTATTAGGAATAATAATTACCTGATTTAAAAAAAATAAGATATAAAAACAATCTTTTACAAGTTACCTCTTAGTGAGAAGTTGACTCGTTTCCCTCCCACATATTTGGCGACTACACTGTTATATGTTTCAACACAGTTATTATTCACATGGTGGATTAGACTGTTGGAATGATAAGCTACTAAATTTACCGCTGCAATTAAATCATTCCACACACTACATTTTTGCATTTCCGGTACTAAATTAATTTCTTTTTTCTTTTTTCTTGTACAAAAGTACCTATAAAAAGATCATAATGTTCAAAAAATACATGTATTTTGAAATAAATACAAATTATAAAAATAATAATTAATAATTAATAATTATTATTTTTCAAATATATTTTCCTTACCTATCGCATTTTTTATGAAATCCAAATACATGAAATGGTCCATTTAAAATATCGATTTTTAATAACTTGACTTTTTCATTATGGGGCAAGTCCATATTTTTTCTAAATATGATCGCCTTTGTAACAGCAAAACTGAAAATGAAATATTTTGAAATTGAATTGAAGATGATAAAATAAAAACCCGAAAGTACCAATGCATGTTATTTTTTATTTATAGTTTTATAATTTATTCACTCACCGTAGTCTTAGTAGATTTTCTTTTATTATAGTTCTTAAAAATCCAGGTACTATTAAACCTGATGCACTTTTTCTTTTCGTAGATAAATCTCTGAGACGAACAGAGTATTTCCGTAAAATATGATTAGTGCATTCGATTTTTTTTACCATTATATCCTTTCCGTATGGTTGTGCTACTTGAATTTTTTTTATAACACTACTATTTCCGTCCCCAATTATTTGATTGTATATCAAATTATGCATTTTGATACTTTGGCGAAATCCATCAACAATTATATCCGCCTCCATTGCAGTAGATGTTCCTGTCCAATTCTTGTAACATTCATCCATTCATGTTATGTCGGAGGTCTATTTAACATCTCTGCTTTTTTACATACACTGCAATATTTATTTCTTATGCCAATAAATAACACTTTTTTAGTTTTGTATCCTACAATACATACCTGGAATAAATCATTTAATTTTGAACAACATAATTGAATTGAATATTTAATTATTAATAGTGACCATTTTTAAATATAAGAATTAATTACATTTTATAAATACGGGTATTAATTAATGGGGAATAGTAAGTTCATGTACAAGAGTAGCAGGAAAA